CACTGACACGTGGGGGGACTTGGGGTAGCCCTCTGGCCCTGTCCAGGCCTCAGTTTGCCTGGCTGGGGTGGGACTGGGCTCTAAGGCTCCTTCCAGTCCTACACACGCAGGATGAGGGGCAAGTGTGCCCTCGGAGCGGGCAGGTGCCAGCGGGGCCATGACAATGTAGCTTTCTCCCGGGAGCCTCGCTTCCCCCCAGCATGCAAACTGCAAGAGGGGGCCGCTCCCCCAGCCCTGAGGCTTCCTGGGCTCCAGCGAGCTCTCCCCCAGACTGTGCTGGCAGTCAGGCAGGGACCCCCTCTGCCCCTGCTCCCCCCTCCCTCCCCCTCCTCCCCGGGGGCATTACCTGGAGCAGCTGCCTCTTGGGATGAATGGAGCAGGCAGGCAAGAGGCTTCTGACCTGTTTTATATGGTCTCCAGGACAGCGGGCACAGAGGGCTCAGTGAGCTGGACAAAGGTCACCTGCTGACCAGTCTAGATCCTGGCCTGAGGCAGGGTGCCCAGATGCAGCCAGGCCTGCTGGGAGAGTTGGGAAATCTGTGAGCACCACAGTGCCCACACTGCTCTCCTGCTGCCCTGCAGGCCAGGGGGGTGCTCAGGGACTGGGGAAACCCCACTTATCCCAAGCGGCCTGGCTCCCCAGGGAGAGGCCAGTGATAGGGGGAGATTAGGGGACAAGCGGGCCCCCTCTCAGCACTTCATGCATGGTTTTCAGATCCCTCCCCACCCCCACACCCTGGGAAAGGCCTACAGGGAGTGGGGGCTGGGCAGAGAAGGGGATGGGCTTCTCAGGCTCCCCAACAAAGAACTCAGCATGGGCTAGGGGTTTGTCTAGAGTGAAGTCGCAGAAGTCCTGTGGGCAGGGGCTTGTGTGGGGTTTACACACTTGAGTCCTACTTGCCGCTTCCCCAGGAGCCTCCCCAGGCTGAGCCCAGAGCAGGGGTTGGTGGGAGAACAGAAAACACTATTCTGAGCCCAAGGCCTTTGTCCTCCCCTCCCCCCTAACCCCCATCCCACCTCCTACCCCCACCACCCCTTGCCCTCTGGACCCACTGATAACACTCCCTGCGGCTCAAGGCTGGGGCCTTGCATGAACTAGGACAGCCGGGATCCATTTCCAGCACTGAGGCCCTCTCACCTTGGGCCTTGGTTTCCAAAACTTGAAACCTCAGCCCTCATCGCCCCCTGGCTGGCCCGGGAGCTGAAAGAAAGCAGGCTGGTCAGTCCGGTGGAGAGAGGGTGCAGGGGAGCTCTGTGGGGGGCTGTCCAGGAGAGGCCTCAGTCCTCTCTCGGGGTGAAGTGTCCCGGGACCCACACTGGGAGCCGTAGCCTGGAGAGCAGGATTGGAGAGGCTAAGACTTGGGAGCCAAGGAATCCTGGCTTTAAATGCTGCCTTTGACACTGACTCCTATGACCCACCTGACATCTCAAAGCCTCAGTTTTTCCTCCCTTAGAAAAGGGAATAGAACGCCGATAAGCAAGAGTTGTGGTGCAGAGTAAGTGAAATGTGTACAAAGCAACTGGTTCATGGAAGGGGCTGGATCAACCTCTTTCTTCTTCCCAAACACCTTGTCCATCCCTAGACAGCACAGCCTGAAGGCAGGAGGAGCCTCCAATGTAGAAATAGGGCTTTTGGCAGGCAACCATCTTCGCAGGAAGAAGTGACTAACCCAACAATATGAAATCCAGGGCCTGGGAAAGTGGCCTGGCTCCACCCTCAAAATTCTTTATTGTTGGCTGAGACTTGAAGTTTCTCCATCAGAAATTCATTCCTTTGATTTAAGTCTTGTGTTCTGTTAAGATGCAAATAGATTCCTGGGAAGTTGATACTAAGAACCCCATTTTGTAGGTAACAAATTTAAGGCTCAAGGGGGTAGAGATGCACCCAAGTACACATAGCCAATCACCCGTAGAGCTGGGAACAAGAATCCAGGTCTTCAAATACCTACACGGGTACCAAACCGAACAGCTTAGAGAGATGAGACCCGCGGGGATTTATCAGCCACCCGTACCTCTTCCTGAGCAGACTTTGGTGACAGGGGTGGGGAGGAAGCTGATTAGGTCACTGAAAAAATCTGAGCACTGGAGAGGGTAGAGAGCAACTGGGCCCGGGGCAGTTCTCCTGTTCTGGCCTGTCCCTCAGCCCCAGAGGTGAAGGCCGCAGTGGGAATCCAGATTCCAGGGGGGCTGGAGTACAAAGTCCTCAACCCCAGGGCCTGCTAGAACGAGCTGGCTGGATCTCTTGGCCCTGGACCCTCCAACTCCCTTGGCCTGTGTGTGGAGGTCCTGGAGGAACCTGTCCTCTCTCTCCTTTGTAGCAATGGGCCCCCTGAGGCCAGGGAGGTCAGAAGATGGGGGCAGAGACCCAGAACGGTGGTGCTGAGCCGGGTAGAGAACCCAGGTGTGCGAGCCCATGCAGCAAGGACGTGGCCTGCCATGAATCCTGGGCTATTTTCTCTTTCAAAGGGTTCAGCGCATTTGAAGGTCTGGACCCCTCTGGGGGTCGCGGGAGGGGCTGTCTTGGAAGGGGCCCTCTCAGTGGCCAGCCTAAGCTGCCTGGCCCTCCGTATTGTCTCTTTCCTTCCCACATTGGCTCCTCTGGAATGAAGAGACTGCTCTGGGCCTGGGCCAAGACTGGATCTAAAGAGTAACCAGAAGTGAGTGGGGAGGGTGGGAGGAGGCTTGACCAGCGGAGGCCGAAAATGATCCCCTGGGGTTGGGGAGGCTCTCTCAGCTTACTTGTGTCTGCGTGAGGCTTAGCACCCAAACCCCTGTGACCCATGCCCCTTCCAGTCAGCTGGACTGGGAGCCCCGATTCAGCCCAGCCAGCCAGAGGACCTGGAGAAGCCAGCGTCTGCGCCCAAAGAGAGCCAGGGGCCCAGCTGGACGCAGAGTCTCCTACTTCCATCGGCAGCTCGAACACTCTGAGACTGGGCACTCATTCTTCCCCGCTCCCAGCACAAATCCATTCACAGGTGGTACAAAACATGCGCACTGACTTTGGGAAATAAATGCATTCGTTAGTAGCACCCGCCCACGACACATCAGGACACAGCACACCCCCCTCGTGGCTGTGGCTGCTCACATAGGCCTGTACCAGTCCATCCCAGTCCCTCAGCCGCGTGCCCTAGCTTTGTGCCCACACACAGCTGGCTTATTTGCACACTTATGTGAATCTGTACACATCATGGCAGATGCTCTCAGACACTCTCAGACAGGTGCAGACACTCCCATTGTGTGTACACCCCGCAAGTGAGACACCTGTCACATGCTGGTGGTAGTTGCTGTCAGACTGTGAGTCCAAGAGGTCAAACTGTAGCTGAGGTGTCCTTGGTGACTCATTGCTCTTTTCATCTCTGGCCCCCGGGGAAGGGATGGGGTCACTTAGTACTGACCTTCGTACTCACACCAGGCTGGACTTGGGCCCAACTCGGGGCTAGGAGCAAGCCTCATGGCCAGTGTTGCAGGGATGTAAGGCTATCGGGGCTGGGACGTGGCTAGTGCTTGATGAGCACCTACTGTGCGTCAGGCATTGCTCCCAGCACCACATGGGTGGTCTCACTGAATCCTCACAGCCCAGGAGGCAGGTACCATTCTATGCCTCACTGAGGCAGCCGGGGCTCAGAGAGATTGGGAGCTCTGCCCTGAAGTCACATGGCCAGTAAGTAGGGAGCCCAGACAAAATCCCAGGGAGTCTGGCTCCAGAATCTGTGCCCTCACCAGCTACTAGGAGATGGGAAGAGCCGCTCCATGAAGGTGGAGCTCCCTGACACTGGAGGTGACCGTGGGTGGTGTGGGGACACCGCAGGGTGCAAGCAGCAGCAGGCCTTTTAGCTGTCCTCAATCCCATGAGACATCCAGCCACTGCTGGAATATGAAACACGGAGGCTTGGTGAATCAGGCTTAACGCACGTGGGCTGACCCGTAAGGGCAGGTGCCAGGAGCCCAGCTACGCGCCAGGCCCAGTGCAGTAGGACGGGATTCATCTGGTAGTCAGTGCGGGGGCTCTGGTCCAGCAGAGGGACCCACGCTGACCAGGCTGCGTTCTTTTCTTGGTGGATAGCTTTCTGTGACTGTGTGTACGAGCTCATTTGTAGAGAAGGTGAGAAATCCTGTAGAAGACCTCCTGGCCCCCGCCCACATCCCCCAGGGAGATGTCCCCCAAGAGGCTCAGGTCCTGGGATTCAGCATAGGCTGACTGCTCAAGCCCAGGGTGTGGCCGGGCTGGGGGCAGGAATCAGGCCCCAGGCCCCAGGCTAGCGGTTCTCCCTGAGTTGTGCCCCTCCCTCCCTGGGAGCCCCAGAGGACTGGCCTGACCCTGCCAACTCTCACTGGAAGGGTGAGCATTTTACTGGACCTCCTGCCATGGTCCAAGTCAGGAAAGCACTATTATTATTAATAACAGCAACTACTTGGTAGCGCTTTCTCTGCACCAGGCATTATGCTATTCATGCCATGAGCAATATCTCATTTACATAAGCTCAGCAACCCCATGTTTCAAAGGAGACACTGAGGCTCCAAGTGAGGCCAAGCTGAATCACAAGGCCCAGGTGACACAGCTCGGCAGTGGTGGGACAGGAAGCCCACTTACAATACAGGACCCTGCCCTCTCCACCAATCTGCCCAAAGGCTTGCAAGAGCCCCTGCTTCCTGGGCACACTTTGACAGAGCTCTGGATTTCAGCTTGTCATCCCTGATGGTGGCTCTAGGTGTCCCAGTCCAGGGTCTGGTGCTCTGAGACAGAGTCTGCATGGGGGATGGAGTGAGAGGAGGGCTCTCTTCCCTGGGGCAGACACAGGATATGTGAACTTTGCCCCCCCACCAATCTGGCTCAGACCCAGAATTGCCAGCAGGGCCTCTGGGGCATTAGTCCCTGGCTCAGGGGTTCCCTAGGCCTCCTTTCTCTCACAGCTCCTGGCTCCCCACCCTCCCTTCCATACAGGGTGGGGCATACACACAGAACAGCTTCTTCTGACTGCTGCCACGTTGTCTTGGGTCACGAAAGTCCAAGAGGCCTCCTGGGAATGTGTCACCTTCCAACGTGGAGTCACATTGGGGAAAGAGGCAGGAAGGCAGCCTGGGATGGGGTTTATATGTCTGGCTGGCTCTGAGATTGAGTCAGTTCTGACAGCAGCACAGGTGCTGGCTCTCTGGTCCCATCTGATTCCAGAAAGATCCAGTGCAGCACAAGGCTTCTCCAGCCCAGTGAGAAGCCCAGGATGTTCCTGAAGGCTGTGGTTCTGACCCTGTCCCTGGTGGCCATCACCGGTGAGTAGAAGCTGGCTTTGGAAGGGGCCTTTGGGCAGACTCCATGTGCTCCATGTACGGGCAGGGTGAGAGTCCAGAGCTCAGGCAAGAGGACGGTTCCAAATGCCCTCATCCCCCAGCTGGATGCAGAAGGCTGCTGCCCACTTGCCACTCGGTTCATAGGAGGGCTGGCCTCTTCAGGATGCTCTACCCACTGGCACTGGTGCCAACCCTTTTATATGCCCCTGTGACTTTCAACTAGGGAAGCAGAGGGGGAGATGGGTGGTCGGGTTTGCCCACCATCAGCCAGTCTACAGCTCAGGGTCAATGCAGAGTGGCCAGGAAGGAGGTAAGTCCTCATGAATCACTCTCTGTTTCTGCCTAGGTGCCCGGGCTGAGGTCAGTGCCGACCAGGTGGCCACTGTAGTATGGGACTACTTCAGTCAGCTGAGCAACAATGCCAAGGAAGCTGTGGAACATCTCCAGCAGTCTGAGCTCACCCAGCAGCTCAAGTAAGAGTGGCACAACTTGGGTGGTGGGGCTTCTTTTTTATTATTTTATTTTATTTTATTTTATTTTATTTATTTATGATAGGCACACAGTGAGAGATAGAGAGAGAGGCAGAGACATAGGCAGAGGGAGAAGCAGGCTCCATGCACCGGGAGCCCGATGTGGGATTTGATCCCGGGTCTCCAGGATCGCGCCCTGGGCCAAAGGCAAGCGCTAAACCGCTGCGCCACCCAGGGATCCCGTGGTGGGGCTTCTTAAAGACCACGCAGTGCCTTGGTGAGGGCCGAGCTCAGAGGCAGGAGACCCGATCTTAGAGTACCTATTGCCCTGCCACTAACTCACCCAGTGACCCTGACCTCTCCAGATCTGAGATCTACATTTGCACTCAAGGGGTTGGACTAATAATCCCTAAGGAATCTTCCTGCTTGAAATTTCCAGAGTGTGACCAAGGGCCACATCTCAGCATTGAGAGTCATAGAAGAAAGGGAGGGAGAGAAATTCATGGGAGCATTCCAGAAGGGTGGGCCCCTGTGAAATCATGGGGAGGCAAGTGGGGATATTTGGGCAGCCTCTGAGGGTGGGCAAGTGCAGGGAAACCAGTATTTTGAATCCCCGAAGGACTGGAAGAGGTCCAGAGCATAACGCTGTATTAATGAATGTGATCTATGTCACTGCACACTTGAGCTGGGATGGACTTTGATGTCTGCCCTTTTTACTTTAGGGGGTGGGGTGGAGCAGAAAGCAAACTACTGGAGGTGGGTACGTGACTCAAAGTCAGGGGACAGTCAGAGATACAAGGTAATAACTTAGTCTATTACATCCACTCTCCCAAACTGTGATCTACCCGTGAACTCAGTACCCCCCCCCCACACACTCACCTGTCTCAGGCAGGTGTGTAGGAGGTGAGCCATGCACAAGGGACAAGGTCCCGGCCTGTGATGCCAAGGGTAACGGGGCCCCCTTGTGTCCTCCCCCTGCAGTGCCCTTTTCCAGGACAAGATGGGGCAAGTGAACACCTACACCGATAACCTACAGAAGAAGCTGGTGCCCTTTGCCACGGAGCTGCACGAACGCCTGAGCAAAGACTCGGAGAAGCTAAAGGAAGAGATTCGGAAGGAACTGGAGGAGCTGCGGGCGCGGCTGTTGCCCCACGCCAGCGAGGTGAGCCAGAAGATCGGGGACAACATGCGCGAGCTGCAGCAGCGCTTCGGGCCGTACGCGGAGGAGCTGCGCACCCAGGTCAACACCCACGCGGAGCAGCTGCGCAACCAACTGACATCGCACGCGCAGCGCATGCAGAGCGCGCTGCGCCAGAACGTGGACGACCTGCACTCCTCCCTGACCCCCTTCGCCGATGAGCTAAAGGCCAAGATCGACCAGAACGTGGAGGAGCTCAAGGGGCACCTCACTCCCTACACCGACGAGCTCAAGGTCAAGATCGACCAGAACGTGGAGGAGCTGCGCCGCAGCCTGGCGCCCTACGCGCAGGATGTCCAGGAGAAGCTCAACCACCAGCTCGAGGGGCTGGCCTTCCAGATGAAGAAGAACGCCGAGGAGCTGAAGGCCAAGATCTCAGCCAACGCCGACGAGCTGCGGCAGAGGCTGGCGCCCGTGGCTGAGGACGTGCGTGGCAAGCTGAAGGACAACACCGCGGGGCTGCACAAGTCTCTGGCCGAGCTGAGCAGCCGCCTGGACCAGCAGGTGGAGGAGTTCCGCCGCAACGTGGGGCCCTACGGCGAGACCTTCAACAAAGCCCTGCTGCAGCAGGTGGAGGAGCTCAGGCAGAAGCTGGGCCCCTATGCGGGGGATATGGAAGACCACCTGAGCTTCCTGGAGAAGGATCTGAGGGACAAGGTCAACTCTTTTTTCAGCACCCTCCAGGAGAAAGAGAGCCAGGACACGCCTGTGGCCCTCCCCGAGCAGGAGCAGGAGCAGGAGCAGAGCGCCGGCCCTTTAGAGAGCTGAGCTGTCCATGGTGCTCACGGCCTACCATGGACACCTGCTCTCCCCGGCCACCTGTCTGTCCGTCTGCCCCAAGGCAGTTCTGGCACAAGCTTGAGGACGTATGTCCGGTAGAAAATGAGACTACCTCTCACTACTCAATAAAGCTGCTAAGAAACTAGTCCAGTGTGGTTGCGAGGGGACTTCTCATTCGGTGCACTCGAGGGGGCGCAAAACCACTGCTCAGCAAAGCTTAGCAGGTGCAGGGGGGATACTTGGAGGGACACCGGGGCTGGGGAGATGAGATTGCAGGAGGGCCGAGGGCAGGGTGTGCTGATGGGGGGTAGAGAGGGTGCTCTAAGGGAGGTGGGAAAAGATGTCATGTGTTACCCAAAGACAAAAGACGCAGCCCAGTTACACTCACTCAGCCCACAAACGTTTATCGAATGCCCTCAGCGTGCACGTCACTGTTGTAGGCAGCAGGCAATGAGCCAAAGAGCAATTTGTGAGCCATGGGTCTGACACGGTGCTTCAGTCTGTGGGAGCTGCAGAGGTGGGCCTGACCTGGTGCCTGGCTTTCAAGAGCTAGTGGCAGTGGAGAGACTGTCCCTCCTTCCATAAGCTCTTCTGTGCCTTTAACTTGATTTGTTTTTATATGTGAATTTTGGTTTATTCCACCCTATCCCACGCCCATTATAGACTTGACCCATGCTTATTTCAGGAATTCCTTGACTGTTAATCCCATGGTATCCAGAGTTCTGGAATGCAACCTAGAGACAGGGATGAGGCCTGGGAGGTAGGGTGGAGCAGGTGCAGGGCCCTGGGATGCTCTGCCTAGGAACATTGTGTGAAGGGGTTGGCATGTCTAGGGCCGAGGTTGCCAGCCAGGAAGAGAGGGGTAGGGGGCAGGGAGAGAGGGGTTAGACTCGAAACAGTCTCAGCACAGCCAGCTGTGGGCAGCTGGAGTGGTTTCTCCCCCAACCCTCAGAGATTCAGAGACCTCCTCAAGGAAGGAGCCCCAAAGAAAAGCCAACTCGAGCTTTGTCCCAAATGACTCGACATTCCAGTCGTTACTGCTAAGTCTGCAAGTCCAGCTGAGCACCCCTTTCCTTCCCAGAGTGGGGTGCAGGCTTTTTAGGGTTTTCCTTAAGGACCCCAGAACATGCCCTAGTGGGGCAAGGCCCAGGGAGTATGTTCTGGGGCCTCCATCCCTTTATCCCTCCATGCCTCCCTCACACAGTGGCTCCAGGATGGGGGCCCACAGGCCAGGCCACTCTGCTCCTGGTGTCAGCCTGAGCAACTGCTCAGGATTATGCTTGGGAACCAGGTAAACCTGAGTTTGGATCTTGGCTTTTCTACTCACTACTGGATGATTTGGGGCAGATGAGTTGACCTGTTTTGGAAACTAGGGATAACAGAGGTGCTCAACCCGCAGAGTTTTGCAGTGTTTGATGAAACAGTGCATGTTAAACACTCAGCACAAAATCAAGCAAGGTCCACGTGCAACAACTGTTCACACACAGCCGTGGCTGCGGCCATGGCACAACAGATGCCTGGGAAAAGTAAGGGGTGTCCCCTCCGTGCTCACTCCTCTTCCCCCTCTGCACCAGATGGTACATCCTATAACATGAGGCCACCAGAACTGGTCAAATGCAGACCCCGGCGTCCCTCCCGGCCCTAGGTGCTCTCACTCTCACACCCCGGGTCAGTAAGGCAGCTGCTGCCCCCTGCACACCTGGCCTCCTAGCACGGCAGGAACCTACCTGTAAAGATACCTTGACAACCCACCATGCACTTGGAGGTTTACTGGCTGGCTTTGGGCAAGGGCCAACTAGAACAAGGCACTAAAAGGAAGCAGGGCAGAGAGTGAGCAGATTTCTGAGTGGATCTGGAAGCTTCAGGGATATTCCCAGACCTCATCTGAGCACCCCTGGCTAAGCACACTGCCTCTGGGACTCCTGGAGACCTTAGTGTCTGGTCCTGTCATGGCCCTAATCCCATTAGGTGAGGAGGGAGGAATGAGGAATGCCTTTTCCCTCCTACACCAAGGTTTCTCACCTGGTCTCCTGGGTCCCTGACCTGGCAGAGATCTGTTGGTGATGCCATGGCTTTTGGCTGCCCAGACTCTGAATCTCCCTTGCTTTGTTTGGGGAATTTCTCACTTATCAAGCGATGGTGGGCACCCAAGTCTGCCTTCCATGAGAGATTATTTACCCTTTTGTGTCTGGCTTTTTTCATGTAGCATGATGCTTTCAAGGTTCGCCCATGCTGTAGCCTTACCAAAATATCCTTTTTATAGGCTCTATAATATTCCACTGTATGTATAGGCCACATTCTGTATATCCATTCATCCACCGATGGACTCTTGGGTTGTTTCCATCCTTTGTCTATTGGGAACAATGCTGTTATGCGTAGAAATATCTCAAGTCCCTGCTTTCAATTTCCTGTGTACATATCCAGAATTGGAATTGCTGGATTGTGTGGTAATTCAGAACTACTCCAGGATCCAGTCTTTACCACATAGCAAGACCAAAGCACTTAAACCCAGAAGAACCATATACTTAGGGGCCCCAGCAAGTGTAGGATAGGGAGTGTTTCCTGGTCCTTGATGTATCCCTACACCAATATTTCCCCGAGGAGGACTCCCAGAGCCCAGCCCAATCTCAAGCCTGAAGCTCCCCCAGTTACTTCTAGCTTCTCAGGGGACCTGGACTCCTCTACAGGCATGGGTTAGTTTCCCCAAAGGAGTGTCAGCCAGCACTGACGTGGGCCAGGCCAAGACACTAGCCACACATCTGCACTCATCCCGCAAGCTCGAAGGTCAGAAGTCATCTGAAAACGTCAAAGGGGTCAGTACCCCTGAGGTGTCTGGTGTATGGAACTTCCCTGATTAGGGAGAAGAAAGAAAACAAGGCAAAGGAAGGTTCTGGGGGCCTGTTCTCCTCCTGTACCCCAGGGCCTTGCTGCTGTAGAGGAATTACCCCAGCTCGGTTGAAAGCAGCTCCTGTATGGGGATGCTGTGTTTTCCCGGTGTTATCATAGGACACCCTGTGTTCCTAGGGTGGGGAGCACAGGCAATGGCATGCTCTGGGGAGAGAAACAACTAGTGTGGGGTAATCTGGGGACTTCTGTGTCTCAGAGCATGGAGGACAGAACCATGGTTATCTCGCTGTGTGACCATAAGCAGCTAGTGATGGAAGAGCACAGTTAGAGACTCCAGCATTCCTGTTGGTGGGCATGTGAACTGGTGCAGCCCCTCTGGAAAACTGTGTGGAGGTTCCTCAAAGAGTTAAAAATAGACCTGCCCTACGACCCAGCAATTGCACTGCTGGGGATTTACCCCAAAGATACAGATGCAGTGAAACAGCAGGACACCTGCACCCCAATGTTTCTAGCAAAAATGTCCACAATAGCCAAACTGTGGAAGGAGCCTCAGTGTCCATCGAAAGATGAATGGATAAAGAAGCTGTGGTCTACGTAAATGGAATATTCCTCAGCCATTAGAAATGACAAATACCCACCATTTGCTTTGACGTGGATGGAACTGGAGGGTATTATGCTGAGTGAAATAAATCAATCGGAGAAGGACTAACATTATATGTTCTCATTCATTTGGGGAATATAAAAAATAGTAAAGGGGATTAAAGGGGAAAGGAGAGAAAATGAGTGGGAAATATCAGAGAGGGAGACAGAACATGAGAGACTCCTAACTCTGGGAAACGAACAAGGGGCAGTGGAAAGGGTGGTGGGTGGGGGGTTGGGGTGACTGGGTGTTGGGCACTGAGGGGGGCACTTGACGGGATGAGCACTGGGTGATATGCTATATGTTGGCAAATTGAACTCCAATAAAAAAAAAACAAATTGAGTAGATCTCTGGGACTTAAACTGAGTGGAAAAAATAAAAAACAACATTCTTTAAAAAAAGAGAGAGAGAGAGACTCCAGCATTGCTCACATCAGAGGGATGAGGATTCGAGCAACTGGCTCTGAGGTGGTAGGGAGTGATATGAGCTAGGACCTATGTACAAGATCGCAGGCCATAAGGCTTGGAGGGAATCACCTTGTCTCTGTCCAATTTTTTTCTTAAATTTTTTTTAAATTTTATTTATTTATGATAGTCACAGAGAGAGAGAGAGAGAGAGAGAGAGAGAGAGAGAGGCAGAGACACAGGCAGAGGGAGAAACAGGCTCCATGCACCGGGAGCCCGACGTGGGATTCGATCCCGGGTCTCCAGGATCGCGCCCTGGGCCAAAGGCAGGCGCCAAACCGCTGTGCCACCCAGGGATCCCCTCTGTCCAATTTTTTAAAAGATTTTATCATTAATTCATGAGAGACACACAAAAAAGCAGAGACATAGGCAGAGGGAAAAGCAGGCTCTCTGTGGGGAGCCTGATGTGGGACTCGATCCCAGGACCCTGGGATCACACCCTGGGGCAATCACTGAGCCACCCAGGTGCTCCTCTCTGTCCAACCCTTTGACACCATTGCTAATGCACACACACAACTCTACATTAACAGGTATCCCATTCCTTTGCCCATAATTGTGTATATAGATTGTGGTACCCAGCCTCCCCAATGGCTCCAGGATCAATCCTCCTCTCTGGTTCATGCCCTGCATGGTCTCTCTCATAGCCAGAGAGCTGACCTGTGTGATCAATAGGCTACTGTGGCAGTCATGGTGTATGACTCCTATGGGTGGTCAGAAAGGGTACTGTTGGTGCCTTGGATCTCCCTTGGATCGTTGACTCTGAGGGAAGACAGTTACTCTGCTGTGAGGACACTCAAGCAGCCCCGTGGAGAGGGCCATACAGAGAGGAAGAGCAGCCCCTCCTTGCCAGCCACATGAGTGAGCCACGTTGGAAACAAATGCCAGGTCAGGCCTTAGAATGACTACAGCCCCAGCCAACATCCTACCTGCAACCTCATGACAGATCCTGAACCAGAACCACACAGCCTAGGCACACACCCACAGGAACTGTGAGAGATCATAAGATGTTAAGTTTTGGGGTGATTTGTTATGCAGAACAGCCAACTAATGCACATGCTTCGCACAGTGCCTGGTACACGGTCACCGCTCAGC